AATCAGACCGCGATGTTCAGGATTTACAATGAAGTTGTCGACCTGAGACGGTCCAAGCATAGTGTGCGTTTTCCCGGAGCCGGTTTGGCCTAAAGTATGATAACTGTGAAACATGCCAGGGATATGATTTGGTAGTTACCGTATGCGAATATGGTGCCGTTGAAGCCATTCACGCATCCATCGATGATACGGCTGGCGACCTCTTCAAACACTTGCTCCTAAGTAAAGAAATAAAATTAGATGAGTGCGATAAGGCGCTAACCTAGTTGGGCTGCGTTCACACTTTGCATCAGTGTTTTGAGCATTTTGATCGACTAGGAAAATAAAGATATCGATCTAGCCTACGCCAGTGTACGGCACCGTTTTGAGCGACTAGGAAAATATCGATTTAGCGTCTTCAGCGACTGCTCGCGAAAATTGAGAACTACCCGCGAAACGCGCAAAACGCTCGATAGATACCTATAATTTCCTAGTCGCTCAAAACGCTGTAATACGATACCTATACTTTCGCGCCGCTTACAATGTCAAAGAACTGACGCAAAGCGTGAACGCACTGTAAGAAGGGATCACGCGTGAAGGCGAGCCACTACGATGACACAGGTCGCCGGCGCCCTTCCTCTCATCGAGGTGGTGATCCCTTCTTTCCCACAGGTTGAGTTTTACTTTGTGTCAGCGTTTTGAGCGACTCAGAAAGTAGAGGTATGGGCCAGCATTTTGAGCGTTTTCGCGGAGCGCCTTGATTCACGGACAATCACTGAAATCATTGCGTACGCTCAAAGCGCCGACGCAAAGTATGAAGGCAGCTTCAGACTTAGATGAGCGCATGCGACCCGAATTGCCTCTACCGACTGTCGCTGCGTGGCCCCCTCCAAATAGGACAGCGACAATGAAGACAGCTGAATGAGGAGTAGTTAGAGTAGTTTACCTGTGGAACTGTTTCACTGAAGACTGCATCGAATGTGAAATTCCTGGGGTTACGTGGGTTGAAGCTGAAAAAACTCACTGAATCGAAGGAAGGAAATGTGGAAAGTGGGCCCTCACCATAAGTTTTTCTCATCGAGTACGTTAGTTATTCGCTCGCTATTGCGAGTACATGCTGACGGACGTACTCTTGCAGTAACTCGAATGAACTCGCCCGCCATATCTGAAAATGGAAACCATATGAGAATTCCTGTTCGAATAGAGGAGCAAAGGTTGTTCACGAAGCCTCATCGATGGATAACCCGCAACGTCAGCACTGCTCGCCTGCACTCTATCACCCAGTGAGAAGGGTTCACTCAACCATAGAAGTCTGGAAGCATGCAGCAAGGTAAGATGAGACAAGAAAGACAAGACAAAAGCGCCACAGTCGCGCACCCGCGTGACATCCCCGAACTTTTTTGCCTACGATAGCAAAAACACAAGAACCATCAAACCGCGTTCAAATTGCCATAGGATCGGTCGAGCGACTGAATCGCGCGACCGGACTGCCCCACCCCCGAACGGTCCACCGCCGAAACCACAACTCAAATTGGCACGGTGAACGGTGTGTGAACGCGGCCCAATTTGATTTTTGTCGTTGTGGCGGTGCACCGCTTAGCGATAGAGCGCTTGGATCGCCCGATACAATCGCTCGAGCGATCCGATTGCGTAGTCTGAACGCGGCCATACACAACAGAAAACTTATAGGATGAAGCTTGTGCTGTTGACTGATCCCTTTATGAAATATAGCATGCGTTCTACCTTCAGTCACAATGCAGTGGCTTGTTGGGTGATATGGTCCTACAATGACTTGCGGAGAGCAGCCCAGCAGTGCTCTTATCCTTCCAGACGAGTCTGGTACCAAATGACCGCCCTCAGACGGATAGAAGGTCTGGTTGACTAGGGCGGGAGCCGATCTAGGACCACGCACGTAGTAAGCGCGAGATTTGCCACTTCAGCCTGAGGATCACTACACTAAATTCACTTGACGTACAGGTTCAGTTACTTCTTCTAAGGAATACTGGTAGGCATTGGTGAAACGAGAAACGTGCGCAGTTTAGCTTGGTGGGGACATTTCGCTGATTTATATCGATAACTAACGATGGCTTCTGTGATGGCTTGTAATGCAATGCCATAGCACGACCTTCGCTCAACTTGACGTGTTACAGGTCTCACAGGGCGGGACGTGCAATTTATACAGGTAAACAAAAAAAATAGTGAACCGACAATATCACAACTCCCCTCCCCCCCTCCCTAAAGTCTACGGTTTCACATGGAAACGCTACCCTGATGATCCCTAGACTTATGATGGAAAGAGAGTTATTCAAAGGTAGAATGCACAGTTCATTAAAGTGGGTCAGCAGCCTAGCAAGGCAACTGAATATATCGAAAAATAGCGGATCAATATTTAGTGGCTACTTGCACAAGAAACTTGTAAGGACCTTATACAGACAGCATGGAGAAAAGTGACATACCACAGTCTCGGAACTGCAAGACTTAATAAAAAGCAGACAATAAAAAGCAGACCACCTTGTGTTCACGAGAAAATGAAATGAAACACCCCTCGAGTCGCGGTTACGACCCAACAATATTCAAAATGTTTTGTTCCGCGCGTTGCGTACGGTAAACACCATTCAGATGTGCAATTACAGAATCGTCAGAGTACCGCGCTACATATTACGACACATTAGAAGTGTAGTTAGAACCTTAAGGAATCGGAAGAGTTTTCTCTCATTGAAACATGTGTTGACCACGTGATTAAGTGAATCTCAGCCCTACAAAATGTATACAGTGAGAGCAGGTATTCCTTCGTTGATAATTCTAGTGAATAACTTTTGAAGCTATGTAGTGTGGTGCACCTGCTGTAATTCTTGTCGTGCTCCAAGGCTGCTCGGACTATTGAACTATTCCTACCCCAAAAACTCAAAATTTTTTTTCGCTGAAACGTTGCCTATAGATGTAGTTCGATGCCCTGATCACGAATATCACATTCGTTTTGAGCGCTGGCGCCATTTGGCGCCATTATGCGCCAATTTGGCGCAACCACTTTTTTCACCAAAGTCGGTGAAAACTTGTATATGGGGGTTAATCGACATCCTGATCACGAATATCACACTCGTTTTGAGCGCTGGCGCCATTTGGCGCCAAAGAGCCGTTGACACAACATCAGAAAACGACCAGCTTCTGAGAGCGATTTTCAAAGAAGGCACTTTCCCACGGTAGGAAGTGATCCGGCCGTGGGAATGGTGGACGAACGAGGACTTTCCCTACGGTGGAAAGTGGTCAGGGCGGGGGAGTGGGGAATGTGGAAACCAGGTTGCAGCGCTGTACCCTTGCTAACAGGTACAACATCTCGCGTACACTAACCCAACGGCCCTCTTCAGGGCCACATATCAAGTTATTGATGCGATCATGGATAAAGAGTTATTTCAGTGTCGTATTCGTGATCAGGACCTCAATTAACCCACACATACAAGTTTTCATCGATTTTGGTGAAAAAGATGGTGGCGCCAAGCAGGCCAGCGCAAAAACAAATGTCGGATTCGTAATCAGGACCTCAATTAACCCCCATATGCAAGTTTTCATCGATTTTGGTGAAAAAAGTGGTTGCGCCAAATTGGCGCATAATGGCGCCAAATGGCGCCAGCGCTCAAAACGAATGTGATATTCGTGATCAGGGCATCGAACTACATCTATAACGTTTCAGCGAAAAAATTTTTTGAGTTCTTGGAGTAGGAATAGTTCAATAAAGCGATTATTGTTACTGTTAGACTAACCAAGACACTGCCGAGATGCGAAAATTCTTCTCTGCAAAAAAAAACCACTGCAGTTGTGGCAAGAGGCATGCTTACCATACGCGCTGTCCAGGGTCAAATCGGATCGGCTCCCACCCTGGCCAACCAAGCCTTCCACTCCCCTCCCACTTCTCGGGACAAAGTTGATACGATTTCGTACAAGCAAGGTTATAGAAGTATTATGTTAGCAGAATGGGTTGGCCGACCTCAGAAGGAAATGCGTCATGGCGGAGGCTCGGTCGATCTTTTTTTATGTCACCTAGCCTGTCTTACTCTTCCTTTGTCCGCAACTAATTGTTGGCGTTCTGGATGGGCGCGTAACCAAAAGCACATAATATTTTTGATGAGCCCATCAGAAGGACTTTTACATTCAAGTGGTATGACCACATGTCATTTCGCTGCATTCGCATGTACCCGGAAAACCCACCACCACCCAAGACAGAAAACTACCGAAACCCCCCCACGCCCCGCCGCGCACCCCAAGTGACCCACGAACACCCCCCGCCACACCCCCCCCCCCACCCCATCCCCCCACCCAGGCCACCCACCACCACCCGCCCCACCCCCCCCCCACCAACAGCACCCCGCGCGCCCTACGACAACAAATGTTGGGCGAATAAAAAAAAACGGTTGAAAGTGGGATATTTCTCCACTCTCGACGCTCTTACGCTTCAATCTGTTTGCAGTTTATTTTGCGTTGATGGTTTTTTGGGGGAGACTCTGAGAAACTCAAAGAGCTCTATTCTTTGGACCCGTTTGTTCCCGATTTCTTTATTAAAGTCTTGGTATGGCTGATAGCACATGTCCTCCTAGATGTGAGTGACTTCTTGTGGATCTTTGTTTATCACGATTAATCCGCTTCTGTGTGGGCGCGCCTACGCCATGCTGGCTGCTTAAAGGGTGATTGTGGCGCTTGCCTGCTTTGCGGTGGTGAACAAACGGGATAGCGCTGCGCGGCTCTAAACTCCTATCCCCGCTCATGTGTCAGCAGCTACACACGTAACTTCATTACGGCTTTAGCTGTTTTGCTTTTCAGCCTATCTCGACCCCCCACTCTGAAGAGGGTGGAGCGAGTGGCTTTTTGGAGCTCTGTATGTTGAGGTTAGATGTGTCTCCCAAAATCTACCACGAAGGGATGGCGTTTACCGTTCGGCTCGCCCGTGGTTTTCACGGTCCAGGAAGAGGACTTCTACTGAGGAGTATCCTGCGCACCACCTTAGTGAAATTGGAAGAAATGGATTTGGGAACAGATAGGATCGCTCAACATAATCTTCTCTTTTTAGGTATCGGTACCAAACCATAGTTGGTAGCGCGCAAAATGATTCAAAAGGTGTGGGCTTGTTACTCATGAGTGGTCGAAAGGGAGAGTCTTTTAGGCGGCTCGTTCGAGCTGTGGTTCTCTTCGTATGAACGCTCCTTTTTGTGAGTTGTTACGTGATCGCGGAGGTACGAACACAAAAGGACAGCGGTGGTAAGATATTAATTCGAGAGGGCGGATCATTGCTGGCTGAGGAGGGAAAAGTCAACGTAACCTTATCCCTGAGACGGAGTAGGCGTGGCTTTTGAAAATGGCATATAATGGGATATTACTTGTGAGATATTTCAATTAGAGAGAACTGTCATCTTGTCCTGTTCTTGACAGAGACACGTACAATTGTCTTAGAATGAAAATATCTCTCTAAAAGCACAGCCACGCTCACTTAAAGTGCGTAGCCACGCCTACCACATCTCAGGGACTCCAAGTGTATGTGGGAGCTCTGGGCAAACAGGAATTTTTGTTGGTCGGAATGCTGCAGGTAACACTGCACCGTGCCGTCCTCAGCTCAGGCAGCAGTGGACAGTGCTCCTATTGCACTTTGAATCATCCATTTACACTACATTTTCTACCGTGCAGGGCGTTTATGTTCAAAAGTCCAGGATGGCGCCAAATGTGCTTAGTGAAGGCACCTACTGCACAAGTACGAGGCCTTTTCGTTCCAAGCTACTTGATATTCGTGTTCAGGACGTCACCTGGAGAGCAGTTTCAGTCTTTTCGGTATTCAGAAGTGTTTTGGACTGGCGGTGACGTGAAAGGTCGAACAATCCCTGAGTACTGAATTCCAGCCATATCAGCCCACGGAAAAAGTTCGATCAAAATCTGGCTGACTTTTGAAGAATGGGGAGTAAAGCGTAAATATTGCCAAATGGCTCCATGGTTATTCAATGGACTATTTCAATTATTCGGTAATATCGCCATGAAATTATTCACTTCATTCATCCAATCTAACACCTCGCCGAAATTCCACGAGATAAAAGCCTTTGTGAACTACTCGTTTGGAGGAAAAACCATTTTATTATACGGCAACATCACATACTGATGGATAACAAAACAGTGGATGAAAATATTA